TCAAAAACGTGATTTTTTGTACTTGGAGCAAATTTCTGCACACTTTCGCGTGTTTCCATGATACATGTACGACAAGTTGCGCACGGTCTGCTCACATTCAAATACAGTACTGCCAACAAATGACAGCGTGCAACAAAAAGATCTTTCCTTGCAAGGACACATTTTCGGCCATAACTCTTGAACGGCTGGTCAGATCGGGACACAATTTTCAGAGAATTTGCAGCTATTCATGCTCTTGCAACTGACGTAGCACTCAATATGAATTTACAAATTCGATTTTCAGCGAATTTTTGGGTAGTCTGCCACCTTAGGTGGAAGGGTTGAGATGAGACAACCTGGGAGCCAGAGAATTTTTTCAAGGACGAGTACGGAAGAGACATAGTTCCACTTCGAACTTATAAAAGGAATTTATCCTGAATTGTTTTAAAAGTATAAATTTCATTCTATTGTGTTTTTCCCTGATTGTATTGAGTTCTAGCAGCTTTGATTTGATTTTCGTCTACTAGGTAGTACGACTCGTATTGCACAATCGAGAGGAGGGGGATGGCGTAACCGTTACACCTTCTTCTGCCTTCCTATCACTGAACTCCTTGTACGCGCCTATCACTGCACAGCTTGTGCGCGCCTATCAGTTGCACAGCTTGTAGCCCTTTCCCAAAGGTGCTCTTTTAATTCGCACTTAGTGCTTTTCGCGTCCCTCAAAATATGCTGAAAAAGTGCTCTTTTTTCAGTGAAAACAGGCAACAAGTGCTCTTTTTTCAGTGAAGCATAGCCATGATACATGTTCAGATATGAACCCAAGCTGAGAAATGAATACGCCCTCTTCCATTTATGGGTCCACGAAAGCCAAAACAGGAAGTAAATTTCAAAAACCCCACTTTTTACAGCATTGTGTTCACCTGGTACAAGCTTCACCAACTTGTTGCCCCCAAAAAAGCGGCGTGCCAAGGCCCATCGAGCACTCGGAAACTGTGATCGCATGCATGAGCATTATATACAAACAGATTTTAGCACTTTTTCAGCTAAAAAAGCTCAAAAAGGGCGATATTCACCAAAAAACGCTATAAAGGGCGAAAGAAACGGGCTTTTCCAAACAGGGCCAAAAAGGGCGAGCACCTTTGGGAAAGGGCGAACAGCTTGTGCGCGCCTATCAGTTGAACAGCTTGTGCGCGCCTATCAGTTGCATTTGTGCAACTGATAGCACTTACTATTCACGGCTACCTTTCGCTTTAGCACCTATTATTCTACTTACTGTATTTTTTTGCGCTGTTTTACCACCTTCTTACTGTATTTAATCCACTGTTCCTGTTCCTTTTCCCTTGCCTGTATTTCACCTGATGAGAAGGCTTGAAAGTACACTTGTGAAGACAAAAACTTTCAAGATGTTTGTAATGAGCCTGAAGTGTGTCCTTTTCATGAGTATTATCGCATTTTTGTCTCAGAGGAAACTGTTTACTGTATAAAACTGCTTCTTTACTAATAAAGAGACGGATTATTCCGACTAAGTGAGACGTTTACAGATTCATTCGCATCTTCTGCTACATGCACTGTATCAGTGCTGGAAAGAACTTTGAAGAATGTATTGCCATGATTTCTACCCTCTTTTCATTGAAACCAGGGAGTCGTAAAAGCCCTTACGACTCCCTGATTGAAACCATTATCTGCACGACTTCCGAACCCTTTGCCATGCAGACCACCAGCACTGATCATTCAGGTGCATTGTACACAATTGTGTAGCTTACATACTAGAGCTGTGGTACAATCATGTAGTTATGCTCCTCCCTTCGAAAGGATGCCAAAATATGTTCAAATTTTCAACCACCTAATGATTATGCCGGCATAATCCGCCGGTGCCTACTGAGAGCATGAGGGGTGAGACGAGTACTGCCGTGTACTTACCGGCTCTAGTAGGATTTTTTCGCTGTCGGCAAGCGATGACACATACTCAACCTTGGTAGACTGTCTACAAGGCCTCTCTGTGACTGTCTCATTAGCTTCCAAAGCTTGCTACTATGCTAGACCAAGAACACAGGCCTTAAAGGGGAAGTTAAGGCAAAAATTAAAATTTCACCAGTTGTAGTCTTCGGGGTGCTGAGTCGAATGGTCGTGGTCCGAGGAAGCTGAGACGCTCCCTTCCTACTTGAATCCCAATCGAACTCGCGCACTTCCACCGAAACTGGGTGACTGCGCCCTACTAGATGGGGATTTGTATGCAAAATGTCACTAAAAGCGCCATTTCGTTCTTATAAAAGCACGAATGACCGCGATTGGCCCATATGTTGTAGTCTTTTGGACGCTGAGTCGACTGGTTTTGGTCCGAAAAGGCTGCGATGCAGCGTTCCTCCTTTATTCCCAATCGAACATGGTTGAACAAGCGGTCACGTGCTCCTGCGTACGCCAGTCACCTGGTCACCGTGCCTGCAGGGTACAACTTACTAGCCTGTTTGACCTTTTTTGGGTGCAGTCCTGTCACTCGAGTTGAACCCGAGTTGAACCTTGGTGTGAAAGTTGTCACCTGCTGGCGTGGTGACCAGGTGATTTGGGCACCCAGGACCACGTGACCGCTTGTTCAACCATGTTCGATTGGGAATAAAGGAGGAACGCTGCATCGCAGCCTTTTCGGACCAAAACCAGTCGACTCAGCCCCAAAGACTACAACATATGGGCCAATCGCGGTCATCCGTGCTTTTATAAGAACGAAATGGCGCTTTTAGTGACATTTTGCATACAAATCCCCATCTAGAAGGGCGCAGTCACCCAGTTTCGGTGGAAGTGCGCGAGTTCGATTGGGATTCAAGTAGGAAGGGAGCATCTCAGCTTCCTCGAACCAAGACCATTCGACTCAGCACCACGAAGACTACAACTGGTGAAATTTTTACTTTTGCCATAACTTCCCCTTTAATGGTGAATGTCACACCTCACATTGTGAGAATCAACACTGTTTGGCCGGTCGCAGTTTGAATGGCTACATGTAGATCTACGTGTACGTTGTCGATTATCACACTCGCTCAGTGGCGCGAGTCGTGGGTACTGGAGCAGTGGAGGGCAGACAGGTGCAGGGAGGAGGTAGGGAGCCTCGCGCCTTTTCGGGACTGTCACTTGGTTGCTTGGGACGCGTGATCTGGTTGTCTAGCTCTGCAGACAAGACTGTCACAGTGTCAGTTGGTTTGAGACACCAGCGCGCAAAATCGAACCGTGGACTGATGCCAGTGGTGGACTGGTAGGTCCCTGTCGACATGTCCTTGCCTTACTGCAAGTATCTCCACGATCATGGCAAGTCGCCTGGTAGATCTACATTCACACAGAAGCTCCGAGACCGGTACTACATGTATACATGTAGAGTCTACCACAGTCTACAGTCTACATGTAGATCTAGTACTACACGATGTCATGTCGTCGCTCTGTTTGCAAAGCTCCACCCAACCTCCCCCCCCCCCCCCTCCACACCACCTAACGATGTGCGTAATGACTTGAGAGGCACCTCATACTCGGTCATAGAAAAGGTAGAGAGAAGAGTTCACCGAAAATTTCCCCTAGTGCACAGTAAAAAATAAATAAAAAAAGTACAGTGATTCACCAGAAAGGCTTTTTCTCTCTTTTGTCTTCATTGTTGTCATCATGTCGCTTTGATACCGACGCCCCTTTGTAGTGTTGCTGGAAAGCAGGCGAAGGCAGCAAGGCATGCAAAGCTGAGGCTGCGTTTACACGACAACGATTGAAAACGATTTGCGTTTACACGACAACGAAGTAGGACCTTAGGGCGCGCTCACACTGCGACCAAAACCAGCGTCCATGCGGCCATGCGGCCAAGTTGCATGGCAACGGCATGAACTTGACCAAAACGTCGCGGCCACGTTTCAAATCGTGACCGCGACCTCCGGAGGGGGGTGCCACGACTTGGCGGCAACATGATCGTAGACGTGAAGCGTATTTGTGTACAACCTGGCCTGAAGTATGTTCAATTTCTCAAATTCCGGTGTGTTGATTCATGAAAATCGGCGGTTGTCGATGTCACCTCGACATTTGCACATTTTTAAAATTTTGTAGTTGTGGTCCTGCACGCACGCACCGCCATATATGCATTCTTTGCCCTTTTTGGACGATGTCGATTTTGTTTTTGTTTTTGTAGTTGCTTCGTTGTGACCGGGTCAGTGACCAATTTATTTCTACAGTGTACTCGTTCAATACGATGGCAGCTTGGTCTGGCTTTTCGGTTTCGGAAATTATCTTTCTCTACTTTTCTGCGATGATGGAATGCCATACCTCAAGACATTTCAGTTACATATCATCGGAAAATACAGTTCTCATCTCGGCAACAGACGAAAGAAACCACTACCGGAATTTCCACTGCACTAGCACTTGCTCTGACCACGAGGTCAGGAAAGCGAAAGCGCTTGGATGTGAGCGGCAGTCCCTCAAGAGTACAAACCTACCTGATTGTATGAATTATTTTCGTCGACTTCAAGAATGATACGAGCCACGAGGCACTTCCTCCAACATGCAACATGCGAAAAATTACATCCAAAACGGGCCACAACTTTATTAGGAAACGCACGAACTCTTTTGGATACGAACTGCAATTCGTAAAGTTTGTGTGACAACTTCACGTCTACGCGTGTACGAGGCCTAGTGTGAGCACGACTGCCACGTTTCTGCGTTTTGCTGACGCATGGACGCGTGCTCATGGTCGCAGTGTGAGCGCGCCCTAAACGGAACGAAATCGTTGCGTTTACTACTATCGTTTACACGACAACGCCCGAAAACGATAACTAAACGGAACGAAATGGAAACGCACTTCACTTCAAAGTGTTTTGAAACGTTTTCAAAACGTTTTCGTTCTCGTGTAAACGGTGAAAACAGTGAACACGATTGGAAACAGAGCGCGGTCATGGAAACCATTCCGCGCGGGACTATATTTCGCGGGAAATGCCTGACCTTTGCGACCACCAGCACGTAGAATCTACCGTACCAACTCCAACTACAACGTGTTACTTCCCGCCCTTGCGCCAAGCCAGCACGTGCTAACTCCAGCCTGATAGCCCGTTTTCCGTTTTCGTGTAAACGGTTCAAAACGATTTGCCGTACTCGAGTAAAGGGTTTGAAAACGATTCGAGGCTAGCCCGTTTTCGTTCCGTTTCGTTTCGTCTCCGTGTAAACGCAGCCTGAGGTAGCGACGGCAGTTCGGCAGTCTGTCCGGGTGACGGTAAGTTCGTTCGGTGAATCAAGCACCCCGTTGGAGTATTGCGCTCTAGCATAGTTTGGCTTGGAACAGCGGTAAGCAGGAGCCGTTCTTCCTTCCCCGTTTCTCTACCTTCGGCTGTGGGTCGATGTGAAGCGATAGCACACTCCTAATGACTTCATTGAAAGATTATTTGGCGACACAACGATTGCCTTTCAAATCTACGTTCCGGTTGGCTTCGCCACATGGGGATAGTGATTGAATGAATTTTCATTTTGACCATCATTGTTACACCTTGACGTGGGTTCACCTGTGTTTGAGAATGTGTTGATCAACCCAAGGTAATGAATCGTGTGAATGCTTCATTTCCAAAGTTAGTTGCCGCTTTCCTAGGAGAGTAGATCGATGCTTTTTCCGTTTCTTTGTGGTTGTATTTTGATCGAATACACCACACCACCACTTGTATTTTGTTGTCGTGCACTAGCAACAGCTCAGTGAAGAGGATTTACGCGTGCAGACGACTCGTGCTAGTGCGTAGGGAACCACAGTTGCTGGCAGTCGCGTCCTGCAACAGAAAATTTGTCGGAATGCTAGTACCTGAGCAGCTGTCCAATCGGATGTCGAAGGACTAGGTGAGTTTTATTCGTGGCACTAACTGTCATCGCCCAACGGGTTGATCGCTGTGGATGTAATTCATTCAGTCGTTTGCGGCGACACAAATCGGTTTCTTACTTTTTTTTCATGTTTTCACAAAGCTCAGAAAAATGTTTCCATTGGATTCAGACGGTCCTTCATGTCTGAGGTATGTGGACACTTGTCAGTCCGTGGGTGTCACCCTCAAAGGCACGTTAGATCTAGTCCAGAAAGTTTGTTGAATGACGTCATACACTGTGTATGTATGTACACAGGAACACCTGATACACCTACTACAGGGTTTTGAGGAGGCGAAAACTCACATCACGTGGTGTGCTGTTCCTGTTGTGCCTTTCCAGCACATTTTTAGTGAGCAGCGGAGTAATAAGATTAGCACTCCCTGACAGAAAATCACTGTGATTATGCAACTCCCCAGTACGATCATGGCAGAAAGTCAGATTGCGCTCACGCTATCCTCCGTTCTACGTGCAGTAGTACACAACGTATCTGAAACACATGATGCGAGTTCTCGCAGTCGTAGATCCCATGTGCATCGAGGCACACTCTTGTGAGCTTGTTTTAGTCTTTATGGTACAAATAACTGCATGCTCTGTACATTCCTGGAGGCCACTATTTCTACATTCCGTATTTCCCGGAGTATATGCCAAACAGGAGCATAAGTCGCACCCAGATTTTATCCTAAATTACAGTCATCTACCCTATTTTAGCACCACATGTTCCGTGTACCTCTTTTTCTTCTTGTTATGGATTTGACATTGGTGATCAACAACTGCTTGTCCTCTGATGACTTCCCTTCATCTTATTATAGAGCGAAACAAGACTTATCAGGAATAATTAATTGCTGTTATGGAGTGGCTAGTGAACAGTTTGTGCTAATGGCTGCAAGCATCTTGCGGTCTCATCTAGGCACAAGTATAACTACAAACTATATTGATGAATGGACCAAGCGGGGTATGACGTCACCAAATTACCATCCTTTTTTGGATTTAGCCATTGCTTGGCCACTGTTCTGTTGTGTCGTTGGTCCAATATTGATGTTGAGCAGACCCCCCCCCCCCTCTCCCCCACACACACCCACACGCACCCATGCGCGCACACACGAATGCACACACACACACACACACACACACACACACACACACACACACACACACACACACACACACACACACACACACACACACACACACACATACACAGACATGCGTGTGCACACACACACATTCTCGCTCTGTCTTTTGTCTGACAATGGGCGTCAGTTGTACTTTGTAAGTAGTGGGTATTGAAGCACAAGTGCCACTGACTAGCCACTCTCTAAATCACCATGATTGGTCTATTTTGCTACCTGCGAGGGACTGAAGCACACATGCTGTTCTCTACTGTATGATTCAGAGAATAAAGCCACCCGAGTACCAGACCATACATGAGTATAGTCCCATGTGAAAGGTGCAGTCTAAGAAGCGTCGGCCCATGATATATCTCAACTGGGATCCAGTTTTTACTGAGTCCACTATGATCTCGAATGAATACGGAAAGTGGTGGCGTGGCCCTGCTGCTCAGCCGACCTTGGTGGTCTCGGCGTCTGCACAGGCGAAGCGCGCCAAGAAAAATAGAGAAGGACATAAGAGAGAGGGAAAAACAAGACGAGAGCAAGACATGTATACGGAAGTGCAGCGCCCAGTTTTGTCCTTTCCTGGTGTGAATGCACAGGCATTGGCTTGTAAATTGGAAAATTGGCTACAAGTACTAGCAAGATTCCTTGACTGTCTGTTTGTCTGTTTGTCTGTCTGTCTGTCTGGTTGACCGTCTGCCTGTCTGACTGATTGACTGACTGACTGACTGACTGACTCTGTGTTTGTTTCTGTGATTGTCTCTGTCCCTGTCTATGTCTACGTCTCAATCGTTTTCTGTCTCTCCGACTCTCGCTCTCTCCCTCTCCTACCGTACTCTCTTTCTGTGTCTGTCACTGTCTGCATAGGCATTGGTTAGTAAAGTGGACATTTGGCTACAAGTATTAGCAAGAGTCCCTAGCCAAAAGTAAGTAACTCTTCTCTCTTTCCTAAGGGTCAGCTGTTGACCGTGATGTCTGAAAATGTTCTGTCTGTCTGTCGGCCTGTTGTCTGCTTTTCTCTGTGCTTGCCTGACTGTTTGTCTGTCTGGCTGTCTGACTGATTGACTGACTGAATTTCTGTCTCTCCCTCTCCTGCTGTTTTTCTGTCTGTCTGTCTCTTACTCTCTCTCTCTCTCTCTCTCTCTCTCTCTCTCTCTCTCTCTCTCTCTCTCTCTCTCTCTCTCTCTCTCTCTCTCTCTCTCTCTCTCTCTCTCTCTCTCTCTCTCTCTCTCTCTCTCTCTCTCTCTCTCTCTCTCTCTCTCTCTCTTTCTCTCTCTCTCTCTCTCTCTCTCTCTCTCTCTCTCTCTCTCTCTCTCTCTCTCTCTCTCTCTTCTCTCTCTCTCTCTCTCTCTCTCTCTCTCTCTCTCTCTCTCTCTCTCTCTCTCTCTCTCTCCCTCTCTCTCTTTTTCTCTCTCTCGTTCTCTCTCTCTGTCTCTCTCTCTCTCTCTTGTTGTATCATCTGTATCATACCTGTCAAGATTGTCTGAAGGTATGGTCTGTGTTTTGGTTGATTTCACTCTTTAGTACTACTGACTGGCCTTTTGTACAATACCTATTGAAGTCTAGAGACATACTGTCTAGCCTTTCCCTAGTGCTCTTATTAATATAATCTCCAGCTGTCCAGCGGCTCTTCTCCCACCGTTCTCCATCTGCTGTACTCTTCTTCACACTCTATAAGTTTGTGTCTTCTTTACTATAAAATCAGTTCAGTGACTGACGAGTTCGAGATCAAAACATTTCTCTCTCTCTCTTTCTCTCTCTCTCTCTCTCTCTCTCTCTCTCTCTCTCTCTCTCTCTCTCTCTCTCTCTCTCTCTCTCTCTCTCTCTCTCTCTCTCTCCTCTCTCTCTCTCTCTCTCTCTCTCTTCCTGACAATGTTCTGTCTGTCTGCCTTTGGTCGGCTTGTCTCTCTGCTTTCCTGACTGTCTGTCTATCTGTCTGACTGATTGACTGAGTGACTGACTGACTCTGTGTCTGTTTCTGTGATTATCTCTGTGTCTGTCTATGTCTACGTTTCAATCGCTTTCTGTCTGTCTGACTCTCTCTCTCTCCCT